TCCATTACGAGCACGTAATGCACAAGTTAGAAAGCCACGATCGAGGCCACATCACCATAATAAGCTGCACCACACGAAACATTAGTCCTTCTTTTCCACAATCAAACCTCTTTGATGCACGTAATAATAGAAAAAGAGAAAAAGTGAATGAAGGAAAAGTCATTTATTACTATTAAATGTTTGTAGAGAACGAATCGATTCTTACATAATTGCTATTTATAGTTGTCAGTGAGCATATATATGTTACATGTATATTATATATATTTTTTTTATAAGAATTTTATTTACAATTAATTAGATTTTTTTTCCTTTGTGTCTGCCTCATGTGTGTCATAGATGATTATGTTGGAGCTTGTATAGTGAGTAGTTCCTTGGAATGAACCTCATGGTGCTGTAATATTAGAGTATCAGTCAATATACTTACGTTCTATTTTTCATGTATCAACCCTTTACAGGTCCAAGTAATTCTTCTAATAACAACTAATCATTTTAAAAGCAATTCTTGTTGATAGAGCTCTCTTACCTTTCAACTCGTTGGATTTTGGATTGTAAAGGGTTCTTTTGTACAGCTTCTTGAATAATACATTTTAATGCATTGTGTTAGTCATTTTTAATTATTGTTTAAAGTAAGCCATTAATAAGGTCACTGCCAAACAAGAAATGCATTTTACAGTAATATCAAGAGCTTGAAAATGATTATTAGTGTTGTGGCATTGTACGTGTATCAAATACACATTCAACACATTCGTACACACACACACACACACTTTATATCTGGCACATCTTGAAATGTTTGTACTTATTTTGTAAGAACCTGTTTGATGTATGTGCCATAAGTGGTGTGTTTCTAGGGCCAAAATGACCGTTTATATGTATTCGACGGCTTCAAGCGATGCTATAAGTATAAATATATGTCTTGAGATGCAAATAAAAATTGATTTAACAGGATTTTTGTCATTTTGCTGATCACCTGTCTCCGTAGTAATTCGTGAACATTAAGGAGGTAAGTCATGCATATCAAAAAGAAACTTGTTTACCTCTCCCATTAACACTAATATTTTCTCTTACTAACAGGTACTAATTTCTGCATCCAACATCAAATACAAACAGTGGCTTTAACGTTTCCAATTTTATCGCAGATTGAAAGTGGCAATGAACTTCAATCCCATGGACAACCAGGATGGCATATTGATGTACTGTGCCCAAAGTGAAGAAGGACTTGGTGACTTCGTGGCGCTAGTAGTTAAGGATGAACGCGTCGAGTTTCGATATGATATTGGCTCCGGCTTGGCGATTATTAGGTCAAATCACGTTCTTCAACCCGGTGTGTGGACGCACGTCTCTGTGAACAGAGATTTCAAGGAAGGAAACTTGACTATAAACGGAGAGCCTGCGATAGAGGGCAAATCTCCGGGAACAGCCCGCACCATGACACTCAATACACTTCTCTACATTGGAGGTGTTGATCGCAGAAAAATCACGGTGAACAGAAATGCTGGTGTGGACAGAACCTTCCGTGGTTGCATCAGTGATGTAAGCTCGTCGTGAACTTATTCAGAAGATTGTCGATAAGGTGATTCAAATTAAAAAATATTGTATTATGTCCTTTTAGCTCGGAGTGTCCTCGATGAACGTAAATATATTGAAGTCAGCCTGGGATTCAGCAAACATAGACGATTGTAACGTTCTGCATCCTAATCAGACCAAACTGACTACTGTGATTACTACTCCACCGTCGACTACAACTCCCTATGATCCATGTGCCTCCAATCCTTGTGTTCACGGGATGTGCCAGAGCACTGATTCATACGACTATTCGTGTACCTGTGAATACGGCTACGTGGGAAGAAATTGTGAGAATATTCTAAAGCAATGTGAATTGCTTCTTCCCTGTAGAAACGGAGGTACCTGTACGGACCTTCACGGGTCATACAAGTGCGATTGTCGACTGGGCTTCACTGGACAGAATTGTGAAAAGTGTAAATACTTCAGGGAATTAAAATTTCAAAATTGAATACAAGTTATTTTACAATCTTTTTAATTTCCAGTGACGGAGGTGACTTACGATGTTGCGTTCAGAGGAGATGGTTGGTTAGAGTTAGATAAATCGGTGATGGCCCACGAAGAGGAACGGGAAGTGTTAGGTTTTGAAATTTCAACGAATAAGACCAAAGGATTGATCATGTGGCATGGACAGACACCGAATGATTTAAATCCTGATCACTACATGGCTCTTGCCGTGGTTGATGGGTAATTAACAAAGTTAAAAATGTATTCTATTTCTATTTTTTTTTTTTTTTTCAGATATTTTATATATTCTGTTATTTTCAGTTATGTGGAGTATCAGTATGACTTGGGTACAGGACCAGTTGTGATTCGCGTCACTGCACAGAAGGTAGACGATGGGGAACGACACAGAATAATCCTAAAACGACAAGGCAGCGATGGAAGTATAGAATTAAATGGGGAACACATGGAGAGCAGTGCCAGTTATGGAACACAGCAAGATCTGAACGCCAGAGGCAGCGTGTACTTAGGAGGAGTGCCTGACTATGCCATGACTTATGGAAAATATCAAGAAGGATTCTCTGGCTGTATATACACCATGGAAGTACAAGATTCTGGGGCCATAGACATTGGAGAAAAAGCAATAAGGGGGAAAAATGTTTCACCGTGCACTAGGTAAATTACAGGATAATTAATAGGAAACAATAAGAAAAAGTCGTAGAAATTATATAAAATGGCCTGTTAATTTTTCATGCTGCTCAGAGCAAGATGGATACCTTCTTCCTTAGTATTTACTAATGCGGACACGGATATCTTTGATGCGTTTGTTCCTCCACCTCCTGTCAATATAATCCACCCTAAACCAGCGGCGAATTTAGCCGCGTACAATATCAAACATTACTCGTTGTTGATAGTACTTCAGAATCTGCTTGCCTTCACCATGAATATTCGGGAGCAGAGCGTGCTTTTCACAGTATTATGCATAGACACTATAAACGCAATGAAATGTATACTGTGTTAGGTCTTGCTTAAGTGAATGCGTGTCCCTTCATTAATCGCTTAATAATGAAGAGACGCGTATTCAATGGCAACTTGCAAAATTAATTGTTAAACAGTTTGTATATTGTTCAATGCTTCGTTAACATCGGGGGTAAGACGAATTATTAAAATTTTAACAATCAGAGATCATTAATATTTTAGTAACCAATTTTTTTTTTTTATTTCTATGTGTTCTATAGTTATTTGGACGATAGACTTCCAACGAGAAGCCACCTTGGAAAGATATGGAAGTGATTTGTTTGAATTATCGGACAGTTATTACCTACATTGTAAAAACAGGTGATACATTTTATATCTGTATATGTACAGGACACATTTCTGATGAACATTTTATAACCGAATTAACTACTTTTATACAGTTTTTTGGTTTTATATAAAGTATGATAGATTCTTTCCTCATTTTCCTTCCTTTTATTGTTTATATTTGTTATTATATATAATACCTTCTTTTATTACTTAGATCTTATTCGACAATACCTTTGCTTTAAATTGACTGCGCCACATTCAAGATGTGAATATTGAGGCGCTACGAATAGATGGCAATAATATTATATTACATCACGCATAAGTTTCCACTGCCATTATCTGATTTGTTAATTCCTGATAGGTCCCCTCCAATTATTAGCAATGGCTCCGTAATGCTAGTTGCAATATTACAACAGTTTATCTTTGAACTGAGAATATGGCCTATTTTCAACAGATACAGAAAACCATGAAAAATAAGTTATATACTGATTTCACTCAACATTTTCCCGGACCAACGATTGGCCCTATTATTGATAAATAGCCCAACAACTTCTGTACCAAGTGTTTCTTCCTTCTTTTTATTAAAATACTTTAAACTCCATTTATGTGATATTGATGGAAGGAAAGTTACTTACAAATATTCGCATAGTTAAGACACGGTGCTAGTAAGATGTGCTGCTAGTTCTAAGGAGATTTGTATTCAATGAAAATACGACGAACATGTAAATACTTATAGTCTCCCAAATCTTAGCATTTTCTTACATTCTGTGTAATCGCTACTTCTCAAACAAAATAAGAAAAAGAAAAATAGATACGGAGTAAATGAAAGATACGGCAAAAGATATACATTGTTATGTACATTGTTATTTCTTTATTCATGAATTATTACATTATCATTAAGTTTTTTTTAATAATGCGTCTGCCTGTTAAATTGTCAATTAACAAACGCATATTCTCCCACATTAAAAATAGTAGTCATGGGCATTTTTTAGATTTATATGACAAAGAAAATGCGATAATATAAATCTCGTGTGATTCGAGTCTAATGCACAACAATAACTCGATTCGTTTTTTGTTTTCTCAAATAGTTGTTTTTTACTTATGAACGATAATATTACTATGTTATTTTCTAGTTTAAATCCATTTTTCTTACAATGATATAAAATAATATAGGCCATAAATCATCGAAGTAAAATCAGTTGTTAATATCAATTATATCAAAAAACTTTGTCGATACTGAAGCATTGTAAATGATCATGTACAGACTTAATGAAATTGTAAGTACATTGCTGGAATTTCTAGAATCTTATAATCCAACATCGAATGAATGCTTTTTGAATGTCAATGCAAATGTTAGCTGCAGCATTATATTTATTATTCTACATTTCGTATATATACATATAAGCGTGCGCGTGTGTGTGTATATATAAATATACACATATGTAATAAGCGTAAATATAAAAAGGAAGTGTATAATCCATCAACTGAAAGTAATCATACATGAAAGTGTAGTCTATTATTATATGAACAATTCTTCAAAATGAAATGAGACAATAAATATAATTTTGTTAAGAAAATCTATCTTAATTACTTCATCATTGTAGTAAAAAAGATTATTAATACAAATAATGTTAAGATTAAACCTGAGAAATTGACACAGAGAGAGTGTTTTAAACACACACTGGCTGCTATAAATTCAGTTTGCAGCCAGATATAAAAGGCAGTCCTGTACTAACTTTCTTCTGGTATTCTACATAATCCTGTCCAAAGAAATTAAGCAAAGTAATTTCTTCAATTAAAATGCGATCGTGGAAGAACTTCCAAGATGCCATAGTATATGCAAGAAAACAGAATGGATTTTGAAGTATCAGCTACAAAGACAAATACAAAATTTACTTCCATGTATATTTTAACACAATATTTTTTAACACAAATATCCAATAGTACCATTAAATATCATTACCTGCGTTCCTAGAGACCAATAAAACCAACCCACATAACTAGGATGTCTGCAAATACCATAAACCCCATAAGTGATCAGCTCATGATCTTCCATCTTTTCACTCTGTACAATGTGGTTGAAATTGTGCTTAGCCGTAAACATTGCCAATTTCCTCAAAATTTCTCCACAAATACATAATACTAGTCCAAAGTATGATATAAAGGAAGATTCTTTCATCACAGGAAAATATTGTCTTTCTACAAAAAATTCTATCCAACTAGAGCATGCTGCCACTCCGTAAGCTATGCTGTGATTTAAGATAAAGCTGTCAATAGACAGAGTACAAGGATTTATCCAAGCTATGCTTAAGAATTCTGTGTAATGAAACGTAGCTAATACAGTTATGTACATTCCGAACATTTGCCACGAAGGTGGTGCAATCAAGGATATGATAATCCCAATACCAAAGGCATATCCTAAGAAAACTGCTCTTACAGCAACCTATTAAATATAAATATAAATGTTCAATAACTTACTGATCATTCATAAATATATCATACAATTGTTATAATAATAATATATAATATAAAGTACCTGGTAAGCAAAGCCACGAAACGTAAGAAGTAGGAGTATATTTAAAAATCCATGTTGGAATAAATGTGTGAACCAAACATTATTGAAATATACTTGGAGAACATTCAATTCTAACCTCAACAATACTTCTGGTAGAATCGCGATTACAGCAGCGACGATAAAGCAAAAAAAGCTAAGTTTTCCATCGTAACACAACATTTTCTAAAGTTCATGTAATTTTTCTCTACTTAAATAAATTCAGCATTTCTATTAAATATTATTTATAGGTTAAATTCTAACCTTACTTTAGCCATAAATTACTAACAATTAACTGAGACGATTTTTCACAAATTTTGAGAACACTGTTTTCCTAGATTGGATAAATCTTACAAATCGCGTTCTTCATTATCTTTTACATTTAAAAATTAATAATAAATTATGTAAAAATTTGAACTTCATGTTTTGCAGATTATTCTTTATTCGCAGATATCGAAAACAATAAAGTTATACTACATTTTCTTATAAAATTGGAAAATTTTAGTTATTTCAAAATTGAAATTAATACTTCTTTTTATATATTACAAAAAAACAATTTTATAATTTTATCGAAATTCTAAAATGAGAAATTTACGTCAAGTTGTTTAAATAACAAAATATATTAGCAATTAACAGATTACAATGAAAATAAATTATTGTAACAGTTATCATATATGATTATTATTTGTGTTACATTGTATTTTATAGTATTTAGAAATAATAATTTACAATAATTAGTGCTTGCGACAAGTGTCAATAGTGTGCAATAAAGACAGATATATACGTGTCGGACAAGTAGAATACTAATTTTGCAACTAGAATAGAAGGCAACGACATCTAACAACAAAAATTCAAAGTATTACATTCGCAATAAAATTTAAATATAGAAGAAATGTTTTAATATTTCATTTATTACGCTACTTAATTATTATTCGTAAATATTGTTGTCGGCATTTGTGACATCCTGATTATAGGAAATTGCAAAAAATAGAAAAATAGGAAATATAGAACTAATATTTAGAAAATATTACTTTTGAAATATAAATATAAAATTACATTCTAAATTTCTGTACGAAAATATTTACTAAAGATGTAATTTCCATTAAATTAATCTTGGTTAGTGGAGCAATTATTTTGAATAATTTCTAACAGTGTATATTCCAGAATATGTTTCGCTCCAATTCACATCTTGTACAGTGAATTCTTTTTATTAACGATCCAACGTCCAACTTATAAATAAAGAACGGCGTCGCAGAAATTATTTAAAAAAAACATATTTTTTAAATGAAAGAAGATCCAGAAATATTTTCCATTACGAAACAATACGCTCGTATTAAAACGGGTGACATCAATACGGGAAACTACTATCTACTTCACTAACGTTTGACGTGAGTACGCTCGCCTTACTACCAGTGTACTACTCTTACTAGAAACACCAACACCATGAAACATTACAACTACATAGCAATCGTAAATAAAGTAGTGATGGATTTAATCTAACGACTGGTTGAATAACTTTCCACGAACTCAAGCTATCTTAACTGACATACATCACTTGATGTAAAGACTTTTTCAATGAATGGATGTAGTCGTATTTATATTTATCATCACAGAGAATTTTACTGAAGTCTTTTCACTGTAGAAAATTTTGCAGGAATTGCCGAGCAGTATCGTACCCATCGCTTACATTCAGTTCAAGCCCAGCTCGAAAGTATCGTCAGCATATGCGTGTACTCATGACTCGTACTACGTCCAATGTGCTCTACGAACATTCTTACCTACACTGTGAAAAGAGGAATGCACATGCACGGTGGGAACAGCACCACTACAACTCTCTGTTCTATTCATCGCTGTTCAAGATGGAGAGAAAACAACGTATGTTTTCCGTAAGGTGGTTGTAAATGAGAAAATCGGCCGAAAGAACGTATTCCACTATTGAGACAGCGACTGCTCGATGAGAAATGGCGAAATCTGTCTTGAGCTCGGACACACTGCCGAAGGCAGGCCGAGTAAACGAAGGTATAGATATATTTTTTCAATGTTTCTTGTCACTTTTGAATAGAATCACTTCGTTCGACTGGCATGTCTAATGAGTATTCCTTCGACGATGTACAGTGTGTCGTGAATGGCTGGTACACGAAGACGGAGCTCTCGCGTACCGTCTGCAAGATGAAGAAAGTAAGAATACCACCTCTAGTTTCTGCAATATCCTTGATTTTCATTGAATATTTTCATTGTCTTGCTATGCCTTGTTAGTCAAGGAACACTACACGGGCAACAAAATCCGCAATGCACAAGTTAGGGAGGACTTACCGAGGGCCAAGGTTGAGCAGGAGTTGGAAGAGCTCAGATATCAGTCTTATATTCAACAGCAGTTAGTATTCAAACCTTTGATTTGCATTGGTTTGTGCAAAGGTTTATACCTTATTGGAGTGTTCCTGATTTCAGAGAGGAAAGAGATGCCCTTGTTGCGAGACAGATCGCATTATCTCTGGAACGAGAAGAAAGGCAGAGAGAGCGAGAGTTACAAGAGCAGATGAGGCTGCAACTGAGATTAGACGACGAAGCTGCACAGCTTGAGATGAAACGACACATTCAAGAAGTAAAAGACGAGGTATTTTGAGAAGATATCTCAACTTTGTATCTGTAATGCCGTGATTTAACTTTCCTGTTTGTTGAACAAAGGAATTAGCGAGGAAACTGCAGCAAGAAGAAGAAGAAAATGCTGTGGATAATCATGACGGTCCCGTTAACGAGCAACTACTGTTAGATCAAAAAATCGCGATGGAGGCGCAAGACGCGGAACTAGCGCGGATGCTTCAAGAAAAGGAACGAGCCAAGATAAGAAAAGCGAGACAGAGAGCAAGACAGAGGAAACTAGAACGACAGCAGCTTCAAGAATTAGAGGAGCAGAATCTTGCAGAGAAACCTCAACGACCTGACAGACTAGACTTGAAAGGCAAGACTAGAGTTCAGCCAACCTTAAATTACCCGCAGTATCCTGATCCTGAAGAGATACAAACGTTGGACGAGTCTAGCGAAAATGTAAGAGAGGTGCAAAACGTAGCTGCAATTATTGATCCTACATACAATGGAAATACGCATAGAAACACTTCAAGTAGCTCAAGTAGCACAGTAAGCCCTACGTATGCATTGCCTACACCACCACAGGAACTTATGAATGACGATGCTCCATGTTACATGCCTATACAGGGACAACGAAGAAATCAAATGCAATCCCCATCCCAAACTCATGAAGAGAAACATAAACGTCGAGTAAAAGATGGTTGTAAACAGCAGTAAAGATAGTCTATTAAATCTATCTCTCCTATCTATAAGAAATATTTTTTAATAGGACATTTTCGTTGCCATGATATATAAGTTACTGTTCATAAGTTACGTAGAAATTCTTACGGTATATGCATCTAACTTGCAAAGATATTTCCATCTTTCGTTTACGAAGAAATATACTTAATGAAAGCAATATAAAGATAAATGTGCCTTTTAAAAAGGTACGGTGTAAGGCAATCAACGAATATCGATAACTGATTAACATTTGATAACGAATTACACCGTCCTGAATCTTAGATCTGCCTTTTTCCATGTACGTTTATATCAAACTCGAGAATATATATTATACAATGATGTCAGAGATTTTTATTGAAAAAAGAAGAATGAAGAATAAAAAAAAGTAGACAATCAGAATTAAGATTAAAAAGAGAAGATTAATTGTATCAAGCAGCGATGTACAAATCAATCATTTAGACTGAATATCAAATGATATAATTGAGAGATTTTAATCGAATTTATATATACAATTATTGCTCTCTAAATTTAATATAGAGTTAACATACGTTTCCAAGCTTTTTTTTAAAGCAAAATATTTCTTTTTTTTAATTTTTAATTAAGGCGCAGAATCTTAAGAAGAATATATTTACTGCCAAAGAGGATACTTGTAACGTTCATTTTGTACCAGACAAAGTTTAGTATTAGCAACGTAAGAACTTTTTTTTTCTTAAATATTCGAAGCTACGAATACGCGTTATAAAACAAGTGCTTGCTAAATTAAACAATTTTGTATAAGCTTTACTTTACTTTAGGAAATACTGGATGATCATGATACAATTTTTACTGATCTATTATAACGTAGATACGGCGCAATTGTAATAATTATTATTTAATGTCGCTTCAGTATTTAAGCTTAACTAGGTACTTATTTATGGTGATTGGAAATTTATTCGATAACGATAATATGTATTAATTTCTTTTTACATTTATTGTATGAATACAGCTATACATGGGTATATTAATAAATTATTTACAAAGTTATGATACAAGTTTTCATCAAAAACTCCCATATAAATATACGTTACAATAATTCATTCCATGAACTTATTGCATAAAAAAAAAGATTAGTTTAATGTAACAAATATATTTGCCAATTGGATATATAAAAGTAATGAATCTTATAATTTAAAGAGAGAGAGTTAGTTTTACTTTTTTATAATACATTTTCGAGGTTTTTTACTGTTTTTAATATTCAAAAAATACAGAGGTCAATTAAGATTTTCTTTTTTTCTTTGCAAGCTGTTCACATACTTCGAGAATTTAATATTAATTAGAACGAGTTGCTTGATAGGCACAAAAAATACTAATTAAACTAGTCAAACAAGTTTATAGATTATATCGAATAATCTAATAAACCATGTTAATTTTCAAAAATATATTCTTCGCAAAATATTGTGTTAACATATATTCCAAGCTTTACATATGATACGGGATTACTCACTGATAAAATATAATTATTGTAACTGCCATTACATTGACTATTATTAAATTAATAATAAAAGACTGTCCCCTTTCATTTTGTTCCGTATTTTAGAAATTAATCTCACTCTATAATAAACTTCGCATCATTATGATGTAACAAAAGTTTTGTTTCATATGGTCCCACATATCATAATCTCTAATCCATCTTTCTTTCTCTCCATGTAATTAAATTCAAAAAGCATCGTCACTCTTTTTACATATTATCCACTGTACACGTTTGTTAAAAGAAAACCACTGTATATATGATCCATCATAGATTATAGATTGTAAATCATTTAGAATTAGATAACTGAATGTACGATTGAGCAAAAAATGATTTAAAAAAAAAAAATTTCGTAAAATTACATTTAATTTGTTGTACTCTTTGATCTCTTGGGTAATACAAACTTCATTCTACAGCGGTGTATATAATAATGATCCGGTTTTTCCACCTCTATGATCTTTCGTAAGTTATTCTGTGTTTCTTGTTCGTTCTCTTTCTGTTCCTTATCTTCGCTCAAAATCGGAATGGAGTCATTTATCCTGTTTAAAGATTAGGAGAAGATTTTAATATCAATTCTGTACATTTAAAAGATAATAAAGAAGCATATACATAAATAACTAGGTCCTTAGCTAGCAGAAGCGTGAGTGAATATGTTGTAAAGCATTGAATGTATACAATTGTAGAGCTACACATGAGTACGAGAGAGAAGTAAGCGAATAGATTCTGAAAAAGAAGCAAATTAATTTAATTGAAAAGTAACCACCTACGAATATCAGAAGCCATAGTCCTTGATCTCGTATGGGGCGGTGAAAACATGTATTTTGGAACTTCTCCAATGACTATAAATGAAATTTCAAATAATTAATTAATTATCTTAACAAACAATTAAATATTATACAATGTACCTTTTTGATCCAATGGCTGATCGTCCGTTTTCTCTGGCTGTGAAAATGAAAATTCATTAGCTGCCTTAGCATCTTGTTTCGCCGGTTGTTTTCGACTTCTTCTTAATTTTGGTGTCGCTTCATTCGCTTCTTGAACAGCTGTTTCAGACACACCGCGCTTTCTCTTTACAGATGCATTCTTAGAATTAGAATAATCTACTGGGCTCATAGTTTCCATCATTTCCTCTTCCATTATTGTCTGTTTGCAGATTTCTTTACCATGAGTGGTTTTGGTTTTTCTACTTGTTTCTGCTTGAAATAGTTCCACACTTGCTGCTCTCCTCCGTCGAGAATTCTGCGCAGTTTCCTGTTTCTTACTTCCAGCAGAGACTCTCTCTTTCAGTGGTATACTTAAAATTTCCTCAAGGTCTTCTGGTATTGATTGAATTGACGATCTACGACTACGTGTGTTGGCGGCTGGTCTACTTTTTATCTGTTCTGCCACTAAATACTGTGACTGTTCTTTCATTGACTCTGATGGTTCAAACTCCTCTGAGATAACTTCCTTGGCTATACTGCTAGAGCTTCGAGTTCTTATCATGCTGACTGACTCCTTAGGAACTGAACTGCTTCGTTTCCTTGATGGCTTGGTAATACTAGACTCTTCCACTTCCTGTTCAGTTGTTCCAGATTTCTTTCTTGATCTCGTTGAGATTGTGCTCGATTTCCTTGCTCCTCCTACAGATTGTTTGGTCTTTGAATTCTTAGTCTCTGTTTGGACTTTTTTCTCATCATCTGGTGTTAAACTTGGCGTCGACAGTGTTTCGTTGTTCTTTGTCAAGGGTTTAACCAAATCTGGCAGCTCCTTCTGCACAGAGGCAGAACGTCTTGTGCTCCTTCTTACTGGAGTTCTGGCTTCCTCGCTTTCTGTCTCTACAGAAACATCCTTAACCACAGATGATGCTCTCTTGCCCCTGGTTTTCCTTGGTGACGAAATCCCAGATGATCCGGAAGAGCTCGTTTGCTTGACATTTTCATCTGTAGCTACTACTGACGCGATTAATACTTCTTTCACCAGCGAACTGGCTCGTCTCGATCGTGATGTCTTCACAGAAATCTTGGAGGGTGAATTTAAAGTTTCCTTGGAAGGTGAATTTATAGTTTCCTTCGATATAGATAAAGCTCTACGTGACCTGGTCATTCTAGGCGTGACTTCTGGCGATTCGAAGTCTAAACTAGAAATATTGACACTGTCTTTATGCCCTAATGAATCACTTCGAGCCGAATTTCTTCTTGTTTTCCTGCAATTAGAGTTGTTATTATCAAGTCGTCTCGACTCCTCCTTTGTTTCACGTTTCTCTTCAGCTTCTTCCTCTTTTGCGGAGTGCTTAGACTGGTTACGTATACTTTCTTCCTTATCTACGTGTGCAGTACTCCTCTGATGGTCAACTAATATTTCTATGCTAGAATTAGATTCGTCGTCTGTAATATTTGAGGTGTCGAAATGAATGTTTGTATCTGTCGGTGTCGTTTTTATTTCCTGCGTTTCTGCGTTCTCCTCTTCGTCCAAAACTAGGAATACCTCGTCGCTGCTATTTGAAGATTCGTCGTCAGTAATATCGAAAAGTTCACCATTTTTTGAACTAATGTGTTTCTCATTCTGCCCAAATTGGTTTTGCAATTTTTCATGAAACGATCGATGATGCTGATTTTTGCCCTCCGAATGACTCAAGTTGTTAGAAACATCAGAAAGACTTTTCTCCTCGTTCTCTTCGTTATCTTTGTTAACATTCTCCAAGACTTTAGAACTCGAGAGATCCCTGTTTGTATATTTACTTTTTACATTTTCCTGTAATCTGTTACTGTCGTTAAGTTCTAAATGATTTGACTGGTGTATATTAACCAAGACGTTTTCTCTACTCTCACAAAATGCTTCTGGCACAATGTCCTCTGCAACTTCTGCGTCAACTGATTCATTAGAATCACGATTTCCGGACGTGGAACCCTTTATCGAGGGTGTTGAAGCCACGGGGAAATTACAGTTAATATTTTGTTGCCTAGTCTCACTGAACCTTCTCTGCGGGACATTTGTTTCGAAGCTGCTGGTTGGAGAAAGTATTGTAGGAGAGTAAGTAGAGGAAGATAATGTAGATAATCTTTTGAATGCTTGTGGCGTGCCTTTTAACAAGCAACTATCTGTCGGGGGAATGTTCAAATGAGAGTTTCCAGAATTTCTTGTACTAGAACAGTTGGCCAAAGACTCGTTTAAGGATTCTGTCGAAGTTTGTAGGTAGGTCCTTCTAAGACTCGGTCTGGGCCGAGCTGTGTACACGTTTTTACAAGTGTAACTATTGTCAGATAAAACTGTACTCTCAATCAGACATTTTTCACTCGTTGCTGGACTCACGAATATCTCTTCATTTTCTTCAGGAGCGTTAAGTTTGGAAAAATTTTCTTCTTCGTCATGGGAACTGTTCTTCTTTGACTGACCAATATTAAATCGTATCTGTCGATTAACTTTACGTTCCCTGTCCAACAACGGACTATCCGTGATCTCATCTTGCACGCTAGCAGTAGTCGGAGACGTAGACGATCTTATAAGCTGTCGAATTTTTAGAATAGAGTGCGGGGTTTCAATCGGAGTATCTCTGTTGCTGGATATTTTTCGTTTTACCAATGGTGTACTGAATGCAGCGCTCAAAGCTGCCTCACCATCATCCAGTAACTTCCTACGCTTTGTTCTCTCCGGCGTTCTCATACCACTGTTCTCTTCATCGTGCATTACCTCCTCCAAAGTCCGTTTCTTATTGACTTGTATTACTTTGGGAGACATTACACAATTTATATTGATCTTATCGTTGCATGTCTTCAGCGTGGCGCATGGAGCAGTAACGAACGGAATTACAGACTTCTCCGTTCTGAGATAGGTCTCCCTTGCTTTCTTAATGACCATTTCATAAATACTCGCGGTTTTCTGAACGCTCTTGTTGTGCGTCATAGGTCTAGGATATCTGGGTTCTAAATCCGTATCCAGATTCGTTTTTTCCATGTTTATGGAAAATCGTTTCACCACGTCGGGCAAAGTGGCATTGTAAGCGTTTAACATATCAAAGTGTACATTCTTTGAGCTAATAGTACCGGACAAAGTGGTAGAGTTGCCACTATTGGCTTCCATGTAACGGCAACGTTGCAAATAATACAATAATTTTATGTCCTCGGACTTGGAGTCCTCCAAAAACTTGACGAACATTTCTTCCTCTTCAGAATCCAGAGCCAAATGTAAAATATCACCGAGTTTGTCATAATTTTTACAGGCTTGAAAGAAGCACATTAGTAATTGTGTATAATGTGACTGTGGTCTACGATGGAAAGCAGATTGAACCAAGCCATGCTCCACCGATAAACTTATTAGCGTGCTCTGTTCCTGAATAGACGACAAAGGAGGCTTCTTTATGCGTAAATACATCAAAGCTAACTTATGCTGATTATTTCTTATCAATGTTTTTAGTACGAGTTTATGATGCCAGTCTTTGACATCAGAATCGCTGACTAATTGACCAGTCATCATGTCCAAGAAACCCTGGTAATCCTCGTGATCAAGAAGCCAGAATGCTTGGGTGAGTTTTATGAGGCTGGGACTCATCTTGAAGGAGGAAGGATACTTTATCAGTTGATCAACTCCAGGATATGACCCCTGAAACAACGTAGCTAAGTCCATTAGAAGATATATGGTGATCTGATGTTTACATTCAATCTCATTCGATTCTGACTGATCACAGTCAGTCAAGTAACATCTCAATAACGACTGCAAGGAAGGTGGAGGATAATAACCGTTGGTATTTACATCTCCAGCTTCTCTTTCCCACTGTAGATTCAAGGCAGGGCACTCTCGATTTATCAGTTCGTCTATGAAGAGCACCTCCTCATTTTCTTCTTTTGGATTATTGTTTTTAATCGATTCTCGTTTCTCTTTGTATAGGGCAAATAGTTTCTCGAATGGATATGGAATTTTCAGAGCAAGAGAGATTGGCAAAGTATTCTCCTCTACATATTCCGTTTCAGGTAACATACCCACGTCGTAAAACCATAGCAGTACTTGAAAATACATAGATACTCGTTTCAATGCTCTTCGTTGCTTGATCAAACTGCTCGTTTCAAAAGGTAACTTAGCTACTACATTGGACAGACACTCTAATTGCTGGTAACAAAATCTCAATGTTTTTACTTCGGATTCGCCTATGTTATTACCCGACTGATCGAACAAAGGAACGCACAGACGGTCAGCGATCATTTTTATGGAAGACGCGCGCTGTATTCCCCACTTCAAGAAACTTGGATACATATACGCGGCACTTCCGTCTGACCATTCTTTGGCACACCTGATCAGAAAGGTCGCCCAACGTTGCTCCAGACAAAGGGACAATAACATATCCCTCTGAGCATTATGATCGCTAGAAAATGAAATTTCCGTGTTGAACGGAGTCAAACCAGCAGAGAGACACTTGTGAAATATTTCAGATGGCTGCGTTAATATAATAGGCCCTGTAAGGGCAATTTCGCGAAGTAATTCGGCTTGAACACCTCTAGTGTGCCAAAATATTAATTTCGACAAACTTAACTCTATCCATTCGAAAGATAACGAATTTGGATAAAATAATTCTTCCGATGAGTTTGAACTATTATTAGGAAATTCTTGCAGAGTATGAGGAATGTAGATACAACTTATTATTTCATTGCCGTTTATATTGCAAGTCCTGTGGCTTGTATTATAACAGGCCAATATGCTATTTGGATTCTTGCATTCACTGATGGTTTGAGGCATTTGCTCCTTGTACCATTGATTCAAATCAAATAACAAAGTTCTATTTGCAGTTGAAATCAGAAGCAGACTATCTTCCCCTCTTCTACATTCTGACTCTGTTTGGTCCAAACTGCTTCCTCTTTCGATTGTAGACAGACTAACCACTCTGTCTTTTGGATCTAACTCGATCTCGAATTTAAGGCCAGGTTCTGCTTCCAGATTGAAGTATAAATTGGTTCCCCTGTCACAATATTTTCGTTCGAACAATAAGGCAAACATTCTCAAAAGGGGAGGCACCTTAGACGAATCATCTTGAAAAACGACCCACAAATAATAGAAAGGTCTAGGATCATCTGTTGGCTCTAATAATGCTAAATGCGTTATTATCATAGTTTCGTCCACGGGTGTGCTAATCCAACCTACGGAGCCATCGTTCTGCCATATTATTACTCTGCCTAAACATCCTGATATTAAACAACCAATTTTTGTTGAACTGATTATGGTATTCGTTAATTTTTCAGCTAAAAAAGCGTTTGATTCAAAATCTTCTCTATTAAAACCAATGTGTTTCTCTATACCTGTAAATATAAAAATACAATTGTGTATATCAAAATAAAATAACACAGCAAGAACGGAATACTGTTTGAATTATATTTACGTTGAGTTAACAAATTACAAGTCATGTGTTTGCTATTGTCTCTGTGAAAAGAATTTTTCGTTGTTAGAAACTGTATCTCGGCTGGAGAAATTTCATCCATTGTAACAGATAAATCAGGTACTTCCCAAGTAGATCTCTGAAGATCAATCATCAGATGATGAAGATTACGTAATACTACACAAGCTATGCCATCCATTTGCATAAGAATATTGTCTGGTCTTTTGTCATTAAACTCTTCCCACTCTGTTCCACCAGATACAATACAAACTTGTTCTACACCAGCTGGCATCTGTATATAATACATTACATCAAACATTTCATTCTAAATACTCTGTAACATTGCTATACCTACTTTGATAGCTCTCAAAACACGAGAGGATGTGCAATCAAAAATGCACAATAAGCCCACAGAATCTTTAATTCTGCTTGCTTCATTGTCTAAGCCAACAAGAAGTAAAGGTAATTCTCCACATTGGGCAGGAAATTGACAGACACAAGTGATTTTTGCTCTAAAGGTCCACGAACTGGTACTTTCACCAGTTTTTGTATTAAGAACCACCAAGTGACAACCGTAACTTAACCAAGCATACGTGGCATCATTTAGAAAACCTCCATAAACACCATCAAGACTGTTATATGTTTGTGGACCATTTGATGGCCCGCTGTCATCTCCTTCTGCATTATTTAAACACTTGGTTATGGAGTGCTGAATATCCATAACATTGCGTATCTGCAACATTGTTATTAAATCAAGAGTGGCATCCTTGATAACATGATAGAAATAAATACTGCAATAATTAAGCGGTATATTTTCAAGACTAAAAAAGAGAAACCCCATTGGGAATGTTGAATTACCTCGCAACTAACTTCCCCTAGTTCTTTCATATTTTGCACAGAACGTTAAAATAGACGAAATAAGTAAAAATCATTTATAAACTTCCCTACTAAGGTTACCATAAGGTTATGTTGCCGCCAAATTTCGATGACCTCGTTACGTATTTGCAATGACAATTGACATGAACTTGGATAGTGTATGTTCAACGTATCATCTGACAGAGTGTCGCGGAAACGGTGTAATTTAGAAACATACAGAAAAAAAATTAATATATTACATTTAAATTCGTTCCATAACTCGTGCATACATTTTAAAACTGTAACTATACAACTGCGAAGTACGTTAGAAAGTGTTGCCAACGTCGTGTCTTACCAGCAGAATAGAATCAAGACCTCAAGTGTTGCCAATTACATGTCTTACCAGTAGCATTTGAATCAAAATATAATATAATTACGTATAAAAATGTACGATTCTCCAACATTTCGTAAATTATTATTTAAAATTATTTTTTCTCACCCAAAATGAATTTTAATTGTTCAAAACAATTTTTTCAAATTTCTATCATTTTTATGTATAGTAGCCTTAAGTACAATGCTTTGAGTTTTGTTTAAATTATTGCGATTATTTATAAATATTTCTTTTGACTGATACACGTTGTTTGTATCAGAGATTATGAAATGACGTATCAAAAAATGACATTTGCAGAAATATCACTACATTAGTACAGTTTCTGTGATGTTCAATGATGCAGCTGACCGATTGCATATAGATGTTTATTTGTATATTACAACAATAACACTTACGATTTTGAATCGTATCTAATTCTATCATTCAACGGTATTTTTTATCAATAATAATAATTTACAATGGTTTTATTATCGAAATGAGTTTTAAATATTACGAAGATTGTAACTATTCGGCGTTGTTACAATTAACAGATCTAACCTCAATTAGAGACAACTCCACGTTTGTCAAATTAGTTTGGAATATTTAGTATTGTTAGTATAATACTAAGAAATGATTATTGCACTATAAAATGTCATATCAGGACTCGCCATTTTCAACTATGTACGGTCAAGACGATTACGATATTGATGAGGATAATGATGAATATTTGGAAGACGACAGGGATGCTGAAGACCAAGATGAAAGTGATGAAGGTAAAATTAATTCATTAAAGATAAAATCGCAATTATTACGTTCATAAGTGGACAATTTGCGAATTTTCAGATACAGAGGAGGCAAGCGAGACAGATCTTGGCAAGTCTGAAGAATATACGGAAATAAAGGAACAGTAAGTAAAAAGATTTACATCATTACGTTTCAACCAACGATGACCTATTTGGATTTTCCCAGAGTTTACCAGGATAAGCTAGCCAGTTTGAAAAAACAACTGCAGCAGTTAAAGGATGGCACACATCCAGAGTACAATCGCAAATTAAAGCGTTTAGAAGCTCAGTACAAAGAAAGGTCCATATTCTCTAAGTATAAAATTTACTTTGAATGCAGTTCATTCTTGTGCTTATTCTTTTTATTATGTCATTTATTTACAGATTACGATTGAATATAATTTACCGTGATTATTTAACAGAATGGGTAGAACGGGATTACATATTAGAAAAAAAAGCAGCGGTAAAGGAATTTGAGGAAAAAAAGATAGACTTGAAGGAAAACTTGCTGACCGATATGGAAGAGAAACGTAAAATGATTGAATCTGATCGGCATACGATGGAACTCACGGGCGATTCAATGGAGGTATAAACTAAAACATAATGGTGTTACGTATTGTTTGTATATTTGTGTTCATCGTTTAGGTAAAACCTGTAATGACAAGGAAATTACGAAGACGACCAAACGATCCTGTACCTGAAAAAGTAGAAAAACGAAGGAAACCACCACCTGCGCAATTGAATTATTTGTTAGACGAGAAAGAAATAGAAAGCGATTTAAAAGCTATTAGTCGCGGTAAAGTACTGACTACTGTCAGAAAACCAGGTACTGACTGAAAATATCAAAGTAGTGGAGAATTATTTTGAAGTTAATGGAGAATCATTATTTGTAACAGTATTGCCACATTACAATGCAGTAAATATGCCTTCGCAACATATTCCACCGCCTTCTGATACGCCTATGATAGAGACTAGGATAGAAGATGGGAAACTTCTACATGAAAGACGATGGTAATTTTTTATCTCTCAATGTAAAAGAATTTTGTATCTAACTCTCTTGGTGAAATCGTAGGTTCCATCGCGGTCAACCAGTGTATGTAGAAGGAAAAGATTTAACCAGGTTTGCTGCGAATATTTCGGCGATAGGAACTGAAGCTGTGAGTAAATGATTATCAGTAAATTCACAAAATTTATTTGTTCTTTTTTTATTATACTGTTTTTTTTCAATTATAATTTCTGAATTTTACAGATCTGGGTTAAAAAAGTTTCGGATGGAAGCAAGGTGCGAATATATATATCTCAACTAAGTCGAGGAAAGATTTCGATCAAAAGAAGAGCATCTTAATCCATCGTTACATCGGATTTAAGTGTTCAATAATTGTTAAACTTGTGATATATTAGACTTGTAGTTTATTGAAGTTCTATTTTCAGAATTCAATATAACTCTTACTGTACTTGTTTTTTGCCACCAATAAAACCAAATCTTCTGGTGATACTGTATTGCCATGTACATCCATATAAAATAAGAGAAAAGTAACAGGGACATCATAGCTAATAATAAATACGTTGTCCATCGTGCTGGGGGAAAGTTATCGTAATTAGTTTTCGCATAAAAATCAGCCGCAACTATACAAATGTAAGAACATCCCATCGCCATAGGCGTAATAATAATGCTCCGAAGTAAATCAGCCTTTAAACTGCGAACATACAATTGATGTTGCTGTTGATTAAGACACACCCAAATTATTATAGAATGTAGAACATGGTAACGAGGAGTTCGCCTGACCTCGAATTGGTGCCCACATAATTCGCAACTATTTCTGTTACTTTCCTCTAGCCAATGTTCTAGGCATTTTAAATGGATTGCACCCATGGTTCCCTTCAAAAAATTTATTTTATTTTATTTCATTCTCTCACTTTATTGAGATGTGAACAGTAATGACAATTAACCAACCTTACACTTGCAGGGATATGTAATAGGTAATTGGTGAGAAGAATCATAGCAAATACGACAGTGTGTCGCTTCGTCGGGAGATTCGTGCAGATTTAATTTCAATCTTTTATTCGACTCGTGTTTTGAATTATATTTCCGTTTTACGGTCAAATTAATATCTGTATTTTTCTGGTTGGATTCAGCTTCGACTTTTACTATAATTTTTTCTAGAACACTTTCCACAGAACTCCTCTGACTGATCATTATAGATTATATTTATTTGTTTAACCTGAACATTTGTAACATATTCAGAAGAAGAAAAAAGACGAGCGAAAATTAATTACGATAATTTCAATTCGTAACTATTGTGTTATTGTTATTGAAAAATGGAGTTTGTTAATTCCAAGGGATTCGTTAATTCTTTTCCTGTTCGTCGTAAATATTCATCGCAATAAGGATTACGAACAGGAGAGAGAAAATTGTCGAATCATTTACAAACTATCTCGTTATATGTATAAAAACTTGTATTACGTTTTGAAGAATACAGTTAAGTTAGTTAAGTAAGGTAATATTAATGAGATGTGTAATTATATGTGCAGTTTGTAATTAATCACTAAACTATGAATAAACATTTGTCACTCGGCCATCATATCCACACTGGGGCAATCTTCACCCATGTTACTTGGAGAGGTTTCTAATTCTCCGATTTCGTTAGACTCGCTATAAATATAAATTTCATATCACATGTACTTCTACAGAAACTTTTGTAATAAACTATTTACCTGTCTAACGAAGGATCATTGCTGAACATTTCAGTTGGAACAGTAGGTGGTGCTTTCTCTGGTACTAGTTCCAAGTAAGTTTGTCGAGACTCTAGATGTCTTTCTACTTCTTCTGGAGTCATATGACCATCTGACATCAAAGACATTGGTACCACATTGTTTGACGATTGTACCTATGAAATAAAATATGAAATACAATTAAAGTAACTGTTTTCTGAAATTACAAATTCTTACTTACTATAGGTGTGCTGTTTGATTTCGTTACTTTTGGAGCAGGTTTTTTCTTTTTGCTTGTATTGAGCTGAGATTTTGTCATTGTTGGTATATGATGAGGTGTATGATTACTAATGCCCATTTCTATCTTTTTCCTAGAAACAGAACAAAATCAATACATAAATAATGACAGTTGTTTTCAACAGAAATGTTTTTAAGCACCTCTTTGAAGTATCAAGACGAGTAACTTCTTCATCGGATGATTCTGTTTCATCACTTTCACTGAATGAAGCGTCTACCTTTTCATACTGTAATAATCGATCTAATAAAAAGCTTTTATCCCTATTTACTTTGAGTAGTTTCCTTTGTGTGGACCTTAAAGCTTCTTGAAAGCATTCATTTTCCTAAAATGATTATCAAACAATGAAACAAAATTATACATCAAATACATACGAAACTAACAGTTATACATACGTAGATTAAAAATTTTAGTTTCCTCTTAAGATTTCGATACTGATCCTTATAGTTAGGCACTTCTTCCTCTGGACTATCATCATCGTCGTCTTCTGCATCTGCATTGTTGTTTGCAATTGAACGACAATACCATTCTTCCAACATTGATCATCTGCAACTAAAAGCAAATAAATTGAAAAAATGTTTACATTATTATCAATGAAGCACGACATGAATGAGACTGTTCAAAATCCAGTTGTTTTGAAGACATTGTGAAGTCAAATCTCACAAACAAAATAATTTACAAACGAAAACAATTGTTGAACGTTTTATGGTTTTAGAATGTCGTAGAAATCTTGACATTTATTATACCTAATACTTATGCGGCAGAGATTTGCAAATGAGAGATCTTGGTTGTTTCTGTCAGGAATTGAATTAACGTTACTTTGATGTCATTTAAGGTTAAGTTCTTACAAATAAAATAGAAACTGGCGAATATTTAACAGGAAACGAACGAACAACCGACGAGAACCGCAAAGCGACTTGAAATAAAAATTTCCAACAGTACCTACGTGAAACTTTAGAATGATTTTCTGTGTATTGCGAATAATCGGGGTGAACGATTATTAGGAAGATAAATAAGTTGTTTATGACTGGCTTCCATTCTGAACTTCTTTATCGATTCTATAGTAACTTCGAAATGCTACCATATTCCATGAACTGTTAAGCAGAATTTTTCGATTCGCTTCGACAAATTTCTCTTCTCGTAAATGTAGTACGAACAATCTGTTACATCTTGTACACACTGTCAAATTAAATACATGATTAAATACTCGAATTTGCAATTGGATAATTGTAAATAAAGTACGAAAAACTGCAACATTTTATTCTTTCTTTTTTTTCTTTTGTAACGAAATTTGTGCAGTTACTGAATTTGCAAATTCATGCAAGTTTGCTTATTCGATAGATGGACGATAAAGGACGTGTAAATGTAATTTATAATGAAAAATTCAATTATTCTTTGATAGCCAATAGATATACTATTCTATGAAAAAAATAAAAAATTTAAAATCAAGCCGCAAATGTCGTATACAACGTGTTTCTTCCTGAAAATACTTCATACGTCGTAAATAAATTGTCTCCGACCGTAGGGTGATAAAATTAGAAATTTTCGAATGCTTGAGAAATCGACGCGCTCGTAAATTTCCGTTTTTCTTTCTTCTTCAATGTTAAATTTCGAAATATCCGCTTCAAATTTCGGAGGAAATAATTTACAATTATCACCACCGACGCGCTATGTTACGCGAATTTAATTATATCCAACGAGAATTCCATCTCCCCAAAAACATTGTCTATGAAATATATCGGACTAAAATTGATAAACTTACATGGTCGAGGTTTTTAGTTTTTGTATAATAGTTTTTAGGAAAGAAATTGTTAAGTGTTACCACTACAGTGCGAATCATTTCGACACGTCCGATTGTTAATAAGGAATTCCCACGTATTAAAAATGGGTATACCGAAGTTTTTCCGATATATAAGCGAAAGATACCCCTGTCTCACTGAAAAGTTAAAGGATTATCAGGTAATTAAAAAAAAGTATTCGCAAACAATATTTGCCTTCTATATCCCTGTATCTTCCATATTCCATGTATTTCTGCATTTTTTTTCTTTCTCGTTGTAAATTTTCCTTTAATTTTTGAAAAATCAAACATTTCAAATTGGAGAATATACGAATTATATATTTGAAGTGAAATAGATATACATTTCCGGATGTATTGTTAGTAACCGCATATATCATTTGCAGATACCTGAATTTGATAATTTGTATTTAGACGTGAACGGTATTATACACGAGTGTTCACATCCAGACGACACGGATGTTACATTCCGCATTTCAGAAGAGACCATATTCAAGAATATATTTCGCTACATTGAGGTATTGTTTCGCATGATCCAGCCGCAGAAGTTATTTTTTATAGCGATTGACGGTGTGGCACCGCGGGCAAAGATCAATCAACAAAGGAGCAGACGCTTTAAATCTGCAAAAGATGCCGAGATTCAGGAAGCCAAAGCAAGACTCAAGGGGATAGATATACCCAAGGAAAAGAGATTTGATTCTAACTGTATAACGCCGGGTACACTTTTCATGTCGAAGCTTGACGAGCAATTGAAGTATTTTATTACGTATAAAATATCAACTGACAAACTTTGGCAGAAGTGTAAAGTTATATTCAGTGGGTCTCAAGTTCCTGGCGAGGGAGAACACAAAATAATGGACTACATACGTTACATGAAAACACAACCAAATTATGATGTAAATACAAAACACTGTTTATACGGTTTAGACGCAGACTTAATAATGTTAGGTTTATGTACCCATGAAATACATTTTACACTGTTAAGAGAAGAATTGACATTTGGCAAGAAACAAAGGAAAGTCTGTTTAACTCCGGAGGAGACGAAGTTTTGTCTGTTTCATTTGTCTCTGTTGAGAGAATATATAAATCATGAATTTTCATCGTTAAAAGAAAAATTGCCTTTCTCATACGATCTGGAAAAAATAATCGACGACTGGATTTTAATGGGATTTCTTATAGGAAATGATTTTATACCGCATCTGCCAAATTTACATATTGTACATGGCGCATTATCAGTGTTGTATCATGTATATATGGATGTAATGCCTACATTAGATGGTCAGATAATCTAAAACAGAGAAAGTGTATAAACGTAATGTATTTCACGCATTTTCTAAAGTGATCGATTTATTTCAGGTTACATTAACGAATCGGGAACGTTGCGATTAGATAGATTTGAGAAATTTATGGAGAGACTTAGCCGTTTCGACGTGCTGCAATTCTCCGAGTATTATGCAGACTTGAAGTATCTTGAAAGTAAAACAGGGAGACCTCTCATCGAGACTGAAAAGCAGAATGACAAAAGATCAGGAACTAGTGAAGAGACTCGTTCTCCAAGAAAAACGCAAGATAAAGATTGCTTTCGATTCGATGCTTTACTTAGATCTGTCGCGGATATGGTACTTATTCAAATTGTATACTTAACCAATCATATTTGCAATATTTGTCCTACAATATTTTTTAATACAGTCGTTAGGGAAATATGATGACGATGAGTTTGCTGATGATAAGTCAGATTGTGAAATGTACACTATGGAATTTGTTCAGTGCAAGAGGGATTACTATATAAATAAACTAAAATATGAAAATATAGACGAGTAAGTAAGTGCAATTGACAAAAATTATGCAACTCAATCTCCTAATGTCTGCTATGTATCGACATTTTTAGAGATTTTTTACGTTCACAAGCCGAGGGCTACGTCAGAGCAATCCAGTGGAATTTAAATTATTACTACAATGGATGTTGTAGTTGGTCGTGGTATTATCCACATCATTATGCACCTTATATTTCGGATATAAAAGATTTTAAAGACTTGAAGTTGGAATTTGATTTAGGGAAGCCGTTTTTACCATTCGAACAATTATTGGCCGTGTTGCCGACTTATAGCAAAGATTTGTTACCGCCCGCGTTCCAAACGTTGTTAACCGAGGAACAATCTCCAATAATTAATTACTATCCATCGGATTTTGAAACAGATTTAAATGGCAAGAAGCAAGAATGGGAAGCTGTAGTACTTATTCCATTCATAAATGAGAAAGACTTGTTAAGTGGTGAGTAAAGAAACACGTATACATTGTTTCTCGATAAATTCCAATTACTAATTGAAATTTTATAGCAATGGCGCCTCATTATCAGAAATTAACTGTGGAAGAACAGGCAAGAAACAGACAAGGTCCAATGTGCCTGTTCACTTACACAGAAGAAAATTTAGGCGTTTTTAAAGCGCCTGAATACTTTCCCGACATCATGAGTTACGCGAAAGTACAATTAATTAATCGCGATGATATTGCTGTTCCCCGGGAAAAGTTAATTCGAGGCTTGTGTCCCGGTGTAAGACCAGATGTATATTATCCTGGTTTTTCTACTCTCCAATACATAGAACATACTGCCAGTTTAGAAAAAGCCAAAGTAAATTTAGTACAACCTTTTTCTTACATTGTTTTTTTTTTTTTTCACTGTAATATCGTAATTATTGAAATGTCATTGTTGCTCGTAGGTGAAAGTATTTCAGAGACAATCGCAACAAGAAAGTATGATCCTTCATGTAAAACCGCATTCCAGTACCGATTTAACAACCATGGGCTCGAAATTATTAGGTAAATCAGTATATGTGAATTGGCCTCACTTAAAGGAAGGCTTGGTAATAGGGGTTTCCGAACCGAGCTCGAAGATGAATTTAGTCGATTCTCAAATAAAATGGATGTACGAGACTATCAATGAAATGGAGTGGCATGTGTTGAAGAAACGTATAACAGAGACGTAAGTCAACTAAAAATTGTTCGACGTTCGACCATTCTATGATGATTGTTATTTGTAGATATAAAGATCATCTTGGAGTAGATATCGGCGAAACGAAGTTTTTAGTTCATGTACGACTACTGCTAGGCAAAAAATATATTTTCTCGTCCAGGGGAAAGGTGCATGTCGAGAAACATTGGAATGAAACGCCGACTTGTTACGCGTATCAAACTATAGTGAAAGATATCGCGACTCATTCTAATAACGGACAGTTGTATACAACCGTCAAGGATATCTTTGAACCAGGAACTATATGCTTTATGTTGGGACATCCGTATTATGGAGCGATGGGAAATGTACGTTTTTAAATTAATGTAAAAATAATGTGTTTCTAAGTTCCGATTTTGTTCTAATAGATACGCAAATCCGCGGTCTGCAAAAAATCAGGCAGAGTTAAAGTATCTGTAACAACGATGCAAGAGCCGTCGTTGGAAGAGATTAAACACATTCAGGCGGATTATCAGACCCAATATATGCATGGGAGTATAGCCTCGCAGAGATTGGGTATAAGTTCTTTGCTTTTAAGCAGAATCACCGGCACGATTTTTGTGAAACAGTCTTCAAACGGTCTACAAGACGAAAGTACACACAATATCGGATTTAATTTAAAATTCAATAAGAAAAACGAGGAAGTAAGTATAGTACATATTTTTTCTTTTATACATATATTTATCATTGTACGAATAATTTTAGATACCTGGTTATACTCGGAAAGGGGAAGACGGTCAATGGTTCTACAGTCCCAAGGCTCTCGACTTAATTCGTAGATACATGTTGAGATGTCCTATTTTATTTGAAAAATTAGCTCAAAATCCAACCGCATGTATTTTTCAAGAAGAAGATTTGTTTACAAAGGGGTATATAATAATTTCATTAACGAATTAATCTTCAGTAATTTTGAGCATTAATTTGTAATATTTTTATATAGTTCTGAAGAATTGAATGATACATTGGCATGGTTGAAAGAACAACTTCATGGAATAGAGAGTCGTGCCTGTGGTAGAGAAACCATCGAAAATAATGTAGTGAAGAAACTCGAAGAAGTGGTGGATGCATACCTCAAGTCACCAAACAACGTTGGAAAAATTGTGGATCTGCAAGTGCAACCATATTTACTTTATACGCCTATTCTGCGTATAAGCAATCTCGCACCTGATCCAAAAGCACAGACGCAGTTGCTAGACAGAATTTGCTGCATTAAAGATAATTTCACGGTGCCTCTTGGGAGCAAGGGAACTATAATTGGAATTCAGAAAATGGAAAATGCGTCAGATACTATGTATGACGTTTTATTCGACAAACCGATCATAGGTGAGGATAATTTCTATTTCTTGAAGCGATAAATTTAAACAATTTCATTTACTTCGATATTACCTTTAGGTGGATTTAGTATAAATGGATCTTCTGAATTCCGTGCATATCGTTTGTCAACCCTTGATTTTATAAATATAAGTTACGGACAAAGAATAGAGCAAAGTAAAGGAACGCAAATGAATACGGAATCTACAGAACAGTGGAAGAATTTCGTGGCTGCTACTCAGGAAACTCAGTCGTGCACAAATGCTAATACTATTACATCATATAGAAACGAAAATCATTTGCCAGTAGAGGTACCAATGTCGTCAAAGTCGTGGATCATCCAAAAAAGTACAGAAGAAATACCGAAGAATCAGTTGTGTCATAAATTCAAGCAGTACAACGCGCACAACGCGCAGAATTCCATGAACGTTCGGATATCACATAAACCAGTGGCAAAGAGTGTGCAGCTTCCTCAAAATGCGCAGAAGAAACCTTCAACAAAACCGGCATCCGAATTTCAGGCAATATGGAATGAATTACACAAAAAACAGGTTTACTTGACAATTTTTTTAATTTTAAATTGTTTTTAAAAAAATCTTAAAAAATCTTAAATATACGGTTTGTCAGGAGCCGAACAAAGCTGCGCCGAACGTTGTAACAGAAACCGAGAATTCGGTACGTATAGTTGCGTGGTATTTACTGTTTTAACACTGTTTTTACTTAATCGCGATATTTTAGCCACAAGATCCTAGTGCTTTTTTGAAGGCGGTGTTAAAAATTTCCGATGGCAACGCTCAAGAGTCTGTCCAATCTGGAATATCTAAAACACATAAACGTTCGAATAATCCACAAAAGGGAGAGAAGGCGTTGGACACGCCACCTTTAGTGCAACAAATGTTCGACGTAAGCATTTATATTCTTTAATGAATATGTGAATATAAAAGAAAAAAATTATTTCATTTCAGCATGCTCGACAGAACGACAAAACACCAAATTGGTATTGCTCTCAATTATTGAATTACTTTCAACTCAGTGGGGTTGGAATGCCTCGGTATAGCTATTTTGGTATTGGAGAAAATAATTTGATCCAAGCACATATTCTATTACCAGATAAAAGGATATTTGTCGGAGATCCTTGTATAAATCATGAACAAGCAGCAGGAAGTGCTGCGAAGAAAGTTTATACAGTAATTTGAAGTTTTATTTAAGTATACTTCTACTTTCTTTATTTTTACTTTATTTATCTACTTTTTTTGACAGGAACTAAAATTAGCTAACTTACTGCCAAATATGAAGATATTTTTACCACCTCCTCAACATTGGTACTCTAATCTTCAGAATAGTAATTGGTCACAGAACATAAGACCACCAACGGTACCATATTATTCTCCAGAACCTAAACTTGTTCAACCATTTTCCGAGTGGGTTCAAAAGAATCATCGTGTGCCTGTGCCTCAAGACACGACCAAGCATAATAATCATCGATATAAGCATCATACTCAATCAAAACCCGAACGAACTCACAATCAGAAAGAACCAAAGTCAGAAACAAAGAAATGTCCAACTTTCGTACCCTTACAAGCGCAAAAGAAAAGCAGACACGTCACAGCCAAACAAGTTAGCAGAGGCAGTGAAAATCAAAGTGCCAAAGACAATCCTCAGTCCACAGTACAACATAAGGAAAAGGAATTGAGAGCAAAGGTTTTTTTTAAAATATATATACTTTTTCAACCTTAAACATTTATAAATCTCAGTTCTGCACTTAATTTTTTTCAGACGATAACAGTAGAAGCTATCAACACGACCACCGAAAAGCAAAAGCCAGTACAAAGTAGTTCAAATCAAGTACAAAATACACAGGCCGTGATAAAGCCTAAAAGATCACGTGTTGCTGCAAAATTTTGCATATCGACGCAAATTGAAGAAATCAATCATAGTAAAAATCAAAGTTCAACTTAAACAAAAAAAACAAAAACACTTGACAATGAGTCAAACCTTTTGACATGTTTATTTTTCTTTTACACATTTCTTTTTGATATTGTGTAATAAAAAATTCCACACAAGACAGAGGTGCATGTATGTAAATGGAAAAAGAAACTTCAAGAATGTTGAAGTAGCATGCATATAATACTCAATTATGTGACTTTTATTTTAGAATTTACTTTTTCTTCGTACTTTTTGTAAGTATATTGA